CTCATTATCTCTACTAGCAGTCATAAAACATGATGTGTACAACCTCCAGTGTGTTCTCACAATGCCTGAATTTTCATAGTCAGCCTTTGCTATCTCTGCTGCACTCTGCAAAGTCTCCCTAAACCCCTTTGCCATTGCACCTTTCTCTCTACAAAGTATTCTTGAAACACACAATTTCAATCAAGTATTTGGTCAGCTTTCCTAATCATTCTTGACATTTTGAGATGCTTCTTATATTCAAAGCACTATATAAGTGCAAGTTCTTCTTAGGAGGTAGATGCGAAGGCTTTCTTTGAAATTTCAAATTTGAAATATCATTATTTGCATTGTAGATATTTGCCGCAATACGGCTATCCAGATGGCAATGTTCTGCATAAACTCCCACAAGCTGCAGTTCTACCACACCACCTGCCCTGAGAAAGAGTTTAAACCGAAGTGCAGTTGTAGAGGTTAATAACTTCTGCAGAAATAGACAAAGAAAAGGATGCAACCTCTTCAGTCACATGAACTTGCTAGTATCATGGCATGTTTAATTGTCAACCAAATACCTTCCCATCGGTGGAGCAGGAAATGGCCTGTCACCACTGTGAGTGCTTGGTGTGTTTGGAAGTTGGATGACATGCTTAATTTTGTGTGACACACACATTTTTGTAGGAATGATTGATCAGTTATTGTTTATCATGCCTTGCTTGTTTTGCCCTGGCAGGCCAGTAATAAGTAAAGACTTGATGGCAGTGCTGATTGATCTGCATGTTCTTTGATAGTTCACTGTCCTCTCCAAGATATTCATAATTTGTCAGTGGAGAATGCCATCAGAGACTTCTTTAAACGTACCTGATTTTCCATGCCTTTCACCCTCCACTAGTCTGCCGAGCCACTGACACCTCTGCTTTGTCAAGATTTTGTTTATTTGCTTGTTTATTCACTTAATTTATTACCACAAAATAAAAGTTGATGAATTTTAAGTAGTGAGGAGAATAACATTAGATTTCATGAGGGTATAAATGGCTGATCAGTGGAAATAGCATTCAATATGGATAAGTGTGAGGTGATGCACTTGGGCAGGACAAACAAGGCAAGGAAATACATGGGGAGTGGTAGGACCCCGAGAAACATCAAGGATTAGAGGGACCTTGGTATGCATATCCCTTAGAGAAACAAGACAGATAGATAAACATTAAGAAGGCACATGGCATACTTGCCTTCATTAGCTAAGGGATAAAAGTTTGAGAACAGAGAAGTAATGCTGGATCTGTATAAGATGTGGTTAGCCACAGTTAGAATATTGTGTGCAGTTCTGGAATCCACATTATAGGAGGGGTGTGATTGCACTGGAGAGTGTGCAGAGGAGATTTACCAGGGTGCTGCCTGAGCTGGAGAATTTTAGTTATGAAGAGAGATTGGATAGATTGGGATTATTTTCTTTGCAGCAGAGGAGACGAAGCAGGTGTTGGGGGGGGGGGTGGGGAAACCATGATTGAGATGTGCAAAATTATGAGGGGCATGGATAGGGTAGACAGGACGGAATTTTTCCCCTTGGTGGAGGGATCAGTGATGGGGTGTTGGTAGAGGGATCAGTGATGGGGTGGGAGTGCATGGATTTAATGTAAGGGGAAGGAGGTATAGAGAGGATATTAATAAAAATGTTTTCACCCAGAGGTTGTTTGGAATCTAGAACTCACTACCTGTAAGGGTGGCTATAACCTTGGGATGAAAAGCCTTATTGCAGATTCTTTGATCATTCCTTTTTCCTGCCTGTGTTGTGTTAGACATCAAAATATGGATGGATTTTGCCAGACCTTTTGAGCTCTTTTTGTTCTAAGATGGTAAGTATGGTCTGTGCATACACTTACAAGCTATGCCAGATGACATTTTGCTGAAGGTGGGAGTGTGCGAGCAGTCAGTGCAGACATATGCAGACTAGGCAGATTATGACATCTGTCAGCATATAGCATTGTCATTCTGACGCTGAACTCTCCAGCTAGCATCTGAACACTCAAATTATTTAAAGCAATCATCAACTATTTTCAAGCTAGTTTGTGTCAGTGTTCAGAGGTTTGTACAGTTCCATGAAACCAAAGTCTACATGGACTGGTGTAATACATGCAAAAGGGCTTTGCTTTACTTCAGCAATTCTGCACAAACTGAATTGAGTACTGAGGCATTTATTTCCCTTGGATTACACATGGTGGAGTATGAATAGCAATGACAGAAAGCAGGGCAAGCGGCTTGTAGAGGGAAAGAAGTACAGGAAAAAGGCTCTTAGCAGGAGGGCATATCCACTCAGTTTTCATATGTGGAGGAATCGTGTCCTTCCATTGACTCCATCTACACTTCCCGCTGTCTCAGGAAAGCAGCTGACATAATCCAAGACCCCTCCCATTCCAATTATACTCTGTTCCACCCTCCTTCCACCGGACAGAAGATACAAAAGTTTGAAAACACATACCAACAGATTTAAGAGCAGTTTCTTCCCAACTTTTATCGGATTTATGAACAGACCTCTCGTGTATTAGATTTGATCTTTCTCTGCACCTTTTCTGTAGCTGTAACACTATATTCTGTCTTCTGTTCTAATAAACTGATGTAATTATGTAAAGTATGATTTGTCTGGTTAGCATGCAAAACAATACTTTTTACTGTGTCTCGGTATGTGACAATAATAAATCAAATCAAATCAAAATGTTTGCGTTTTTGTGTGTGCGTCATGAAATCCTCAGAGAAGTTTATCATCTGCTGCAGCAAGAATACAGTCTCAAAGCGAGACAGACAACATTGCAGGTAGCCGTGGAGGTGACCATGAACTTTTATGCCTGGGCTCCATCTCTCAGTTCGTCAGCCACTGTTGCATAAGGGAGATCACTGATACACTCTATTCTAAGAGTGCTGAATGCATTTTAATCTCTCTTTCCAGAAAGCAGAGAGCAAAGTAAGCATGTAACTTTTGTGAGTATTGTAGACAATACCTGCTGCAGGGTGTCATTGACTGTAGATTGTTCTTTACCAGGCACTGTGTCTTAACCCTGAGATGTGCCATGACCCAAAGGAATTCGATGCTGTCTATGTTCAAATAGCGTACAATCATTTATAATATGTTTGCAAGTGCTCGCAGAATTCAGTTACATATGCAGTTTCACAGCTAATGAGCACGACTGCATGCAGCAAAACCAATGCAACATTCAGACTTAAGCTGAAAACTGGAAGTTGATATTTGTGCCATACAATTGCCAGGCAGTGGTCATTCCTAACGAGAGATTTCAGCCGTCTCCTCTTGCCATTCAGTGGCATTACCATTGCTGAATCTGCCACCATCAACATCCTGTTTCTACGCTGACCAGAAAATTGGCTACACCAATCATATAAAAGCTGTGCCTACAAGAACAGGGCTGATATTCTAGTGCAAGTAATTGAATTCCTGACTCCCACAGACTTTCCACTATCTACAAATCAGAAGTTTGAAGTAATTAATGCCTCTTGCCTGGATGAGCAAAAGTCCAGCAACACACGAAAAATTATGGTGAGGCCAGGTGAAAGGTACATACTGAAATCATTTATAGCTTATAATTACAGTTTCTTCTGAATTTTTTAATCAACCTGATCAGATGTGATATGACACACATCCAGGCAGGTGGGACTTGAATCCAGACCCCCTGACCCTGAGGTAGAGGTGCTATCACTGTGACATGAGAGCACACAGAAGAGATTGTAAGCTGAGGGGAGGAATAACAAGAGCGAAGGAGAATTAAGTATGAGGAACGTCAATGGTTTCAACTCTATGTTGGTCATGGTCAATGCTGTGGTGGCAAACACTCTCCTCTGTTGGGTCAAGTGCATACAACTGCACGTGTCCCCCACTGGTCAGCTCTTATTGCCTCTAATTATGAAATAAGTTGCCCTGCAAGAGAGGGATAACTGTGTCAGTGACCGGAACTAGTGCTCTTAGCACAAATATCAGGTGACTTCAAGATAATACCCTACCCGTGAAAAAGATTGCAGGATCAAGCACCATTTAGTTAATTAGGTGCTCGCCAACAAGTGTTTAGTCCAGACATAAGCTTCACCACTTAAGTTCCATCCTGCCTGAGGCTGCTGGTGAATCAGTGGTCAGTGCCTGAGATGTAGTGTCACTGGACACCCAGGTAACGAAGACATAAAGAACAGCACTGGCGAGAAGGTAATGGTATTTTTGGGAAGATCATGGGATTGGGGTCATGGGGACAGGGGTGGTGGGAGTGTTGGAGCTACGAACAAGCTGTAGTGTGCAGCAGCCACCTGATGTGTCCATTCCATGCCCTCAATTGGCCACAGGTTGAGGCCCTTTGCAAATAAACAGAGAGGTAGTGCTACTAACAGACAGAGAGGTAGTGCTACTAACAGGCAGAGAGATCTAGCTGCTGGCCCCCTGTGGATAGATCACTCTCCCTTTCCACCTTCTCCACCAACGCATTGAGTGCGTTGTCAGAGACTGTTGGTACTGACTTTCTCCTTTGTTGCAGCATAACTTACTATTCTTTCTCCTCACTTTCCTTTCCACAAATGTTCCAGCACATGCTCCAGTCAGAATTCACCTCCTTTCCCAACAGGCTTTAAGCAATTCAGGCTAGCTTTAAGTGGCGTTAGGTTTACATAAACTTGGGTCTCATTCTGAGGCAAGCAGTGACTCAATATCATGTTTAACATTGGTGGCACATAGCAGACATGGAGATTAGCAGGCAGAGCAAGGAAGCTGCCTGCATTGGAAGCAGTCATAATGCCTACTTCTATTTTCCAATGTTAGCCAATATAGCCCTCGTAATCTCTAAAACTACCCGTTCTTATGAACTGTCATTACCCTGAAGTATTAACTCTATTTCTCTCTCCATTGATGTTCCCAGATTTGCTGAACGCTTTCCAGGATTTCTACAACATTATCAGATTTCCAGCACTGACATTATTTTGCGTTATATGCATAGTTCTTCATTAGTTATACATTTTCATTTTTTTTTTGAACCACCCCATAGGCATACAGCTTTGCGATGGGCGATTATCCAAAGAGTGGACTGCCATTTATGATCAAAGGCTTGAATTTGCAACATATTGGCAAACTACATAGTGGGATTGGTGAGTACATTAAATTTACCATTCATCTAAAATCAACACGTAACCATGGAATTATGTGGAAGGAAAGTCCAAGTCCAATTGTTGAGTTGTTTGGATATATTGGTGAGTTGCTCCTAATCAAAATAACCTGCAATAACATTATCTGAATTGCCCAATTACAATGCAGTTCAATAATTAGAATTGCCTTTTTATTGATATGTTGCCTGGAGTATATTTGTGAAATGAGGTTGTTATTCTAAATTTTACAATGGTGCTAGTCAAAAGATGATTGCAGTAATGATTTGTACAAGCAAAATATGTAATGTGATTTGCATCTCCCTCATGATCTTGGTACTTTTCTTTTTCTACCAGAAATAAGGCATAGTGGGGTAAAGCTCAACTTTGATGTGAGTGCAAAGCAAGCAGATTTGTTCCGTTTATGTACTTAGTTAATTTTCCTTTCTGTTGAAGTTGTTATGAATAAGGTTTGTAAAATCTATTCACAAATTTTGGCATAAAGTAGAAATGAGGTGCTTTGATCTTAGGAGATAGAAAGGACTGCAGATGCTGGAAGTCAGAGTTGATAAAATGTGGAGCTGGAGGAGCACAGCCGGTCAGGCAGCATCAGGAGCAGGAAAGTCGATGTTTTGGGTCTGGACCTTTCATCAGGACTGGGGAGAGGGAAGGGAGCTTGGAAATAAATGGAGGGAGTGGGCTGGGGGAAGGTAGGTGGATGCAGGTAAGGGGTTGTAGAGATAGGTCAGTGGGAAGGGTGGAGCAGATAGATGAGAAGGAAGATGGATAGGTTGTATCAGGTCAAGGAGGTGGGGATGAGAGGGGGGGCTGGACACGGGATGAGGCTGGGGGGTGGGGAGATTTTGAAGTTGGTGAACTCAATATTGAGGTCATTGAGCTGTAAGCTCGCGAGGCGGAATATAAGGTGTTGCTCCTCCAGTATACGTGTGGCCTCTTTTTAACAGTGGAGAAGGCCCAGGATGGACATGTCACTAAGGGAGTGGGAGGGAGAGTTGAAATGGCTGGCAATCAGAAGATGGTGTTGTTTGGAGCGTACCGAGCAAGATACTCCGCAAATCAGTCCCCAAGTCTGCGCTTGGTTTCCCTGATATAGAGGGTTGAATATTTATCTGTAACTTTTTAGTTCTCACTGAAAACTTTGTTACTTTAAAATTTTTGAATGTTTCTGGCATTTTGTGAAGAAAACCTTGCCTTGATTTCTCTTTTAAGCGTTTTTTTTTGTTGTTTGATTAAATACAGTTGGATCTCACATTTATAAATTCCAGCTTGATTCAATTGGTGCAAATCTCCTTTTGAAACAAAAATGATTGCCAGTTCAAGGCCCACTCCAGGTCCTGAGTACATAATTTAAGCTAGTGCTTGAGTACAATGTTGAAAAATAATCTTTAGATGTGCAGGCATTTGGATAGGACCTTACATCAAAGCCTTGGCTTTCTGCAGATATGTGTTAAGGATCTTGGAGCTTGTGGCAGTTGGCAAAAAGAGGGAATTTCCAGGTTTTTTTTTCCCCAATGAACCATGAAAATCGATTCACTGAACATTGATCACACAGGTAGATAGGAATTGCCACATAGAAATTTTGCTGCAATTATACAGGTCATTGGTGAAGCCATACCTGGAATGTTGTGTGCAGCTTTGGTCTCTTTATCTGAGGAAGGATGGTTTTGCTTTTGAGGGAGTACAGGACTGACATATGAGGAGAGATTGACTTGGTAAGATCGTATTCACTGGAGTTTCGAAGGATGAAGGGGATCTCAGAAACCTATAAAATTCTAACAGGACTAGACAGATTGGATGCAGGAAGGATGTACCCAACATTCCTGTACCAGGGGTTTGAGTTTAAGGACAAGGGGTAAGCCTTTTCGGCTTCACCCAGAGCATGGCCAACCTGTGAAATTCACTAACACAGAAAACGATTGAATCCAAAACATTATGTTTCCAAGAAGGAGGTAGATATAGCTGTAGTGGCTAAAAAGATCAAGGGAAATGGGGGAAGAGCAAGATTAGGCTAATGAGCTCGATGATCAGTCATGATCATATCGAATGGCAAAGCAGGTTCGAGGGGTCTAATGCCTACCCTGCTCCTGTCTTCTTTTTTTGTATGAAAAGGACCATGCTCTTGCTAATTTGTTGTGTAAATCCCCATTCTGGTAATCAACTGGTGTAAAAATATAGAACCGGTGACTAAAAATGGCAATCAATCACAATCCATTAGTCTACAATACTCTCAGATATGAGATAAGGACAATCCACCACTGATGGAAAGCCTTGGGATCTGTTCCTCCAAAGCAAGTGGAGAGTAGTATAGATGCATTAAGTGGTAAGTTAGACCAGCATTTTGAGGGAGAAGAGAATAGATGGTTATAATAGTGGATTTAGATGAGCAAAAAATGGAAGGAGATTCAAGTGGAGCATAAACATATTGGTGTGGACTTTGGCTGTCTCTCAAGTTACTCTAAAGTTTAGCCCTTTCAGCCCTAATACAATACTGGAGAATCAGTACATCTTCTACCACCACCACCCAATACAGCCCCATTAGGGCCAATATGCCTTTCCTGAGATTTCCCAGAACTATATGCAATACTCCAAATGTCATCCAGTCAATTCTGCACAATTGAAGCATCAAATCCTCCTCTTTATATTTCAGCCCCACTGATACAGAGGTCAATACTCCATTCGTGCTCTTGATTACTTTTGGTCCTATGCATTAGCTGTTACTTATCAGTGTACCTGGATACCCAAATCCCTTTACACATTATTGCTCCCAGCCCAGCACCACTATGAAAATACTAGAATTTGTCCTTCCTTAATCCAAAGTGGTTGACCTCATACTTGCCTTCATTGACCTCCATCTGCCATGGCTTTGTCCACTCACTTAATCCATTTGCAACCCCTCCTGACATCCTGTCCCATCCCCTCAACATACTCCAAATTTCATATAATCTTAAAAATTGGATATGCAATGCTTTATTTCTTCAGCCATGTCATAGATGTACGTAGTGAAAACCTAGTCTCAGGACACATCTTAGAATCAGATTATATTCGATTTGTGACCCAACTAATTACTAATACTTCCAATATCACCTCTGATATTTGTGGGTAGAAGTGTGCTGCCTCCATTTCTCTTTCCTTGACTGTATCTAAGTGGTCTAAAATGCATGAGGCTGTTGTAAGAAGATGTAGTTCATAATATAGCAGTAATTATATACATGTTACATCTGCTAGTTAGACATTGGGTGGAATTTTCCCAACCTCAAGTGGCATGAACAATGGTGAGTAATTTAGGAAAATATAATGAGAATGAAAAAATCTGATTCTCAGCACTGAGAAAAATATTGCAGACTTGCTCCTTAGTTTTTAATAGATGAGATTATTGCGAGAAAGTAATGAACACTTTATGCATTTTCATCTCCTTATCAACTAATGTTGCCTCATTAAAATGCAGTTTGTGATTCTCTCATGCACTGGTGAGGAACTAGATAGCACCAATTCCTAACTTGAAAGTCAGTGTGGTTACCTAGCGGCTGAAATTCACCGATTGTGGCCTTGGACTTCAGGTTCAGGTTCATTCAACGGCATCTCACAATGCATTCCTTGGGCAGCAGCTGCCTCCATCCTTTGTCCACAGATCCCTTTGGCAGCAGCAAAACACCAGCATCACCACATCATTATGGCAGATTTTGCACAAGCTCAGGATATACTTCAACACTTCTCTCCATTCGTGTTCACCTACGCTTCACATTGCAGTGCTCCTGCCAGGTCACTCTGCGTGCAGGGACAACAACAGAAGCTCCTCAGGGATCTGAGCAGGTTGTAATGCAGGGCTGTTAGCTTGAATTCTTAGCATTCACTTACTTGTAATTTTTGGACACACTGACATCTCAGGCTTCTCTCGCCTTTTAGCATATTGTCATTTCATTTAGAACTCACAGGCTTACAACATTTCAGCATTGACTTGCTTCTTAGTGAAGACAGAAAGCCAGGCAGCCAGACAAGGGAGTGGACACTTTGCTGTGTGGCTCTATACTGTGTCATGTCACACCTACAGCATATGCCAGCAGCATATGTAGCAAACACATTGCACGTTCTTCAACTAAATGTTCTGTCTGAAAGTCTAAGGTGAAAGAATCCTTCGTCCAGTCAAGGGGACTGTGATCAGTCAGAGAGTGAGGCTACATTCGGGGAAAGGCATCATCTGACCTTGGCGGTCGACCAGTGTCAATCAGACTCTTGGTGCAATCAAGATCTGGGAATTTGTTTCGTTGCAGTTGAAAGATTGGGCCACACTCAGTCCTAAAGGTCAAGTTCAACAGTCTGAGCATTACAGCTGAGTCTGTTGAAAAGCAATAGAGACATCAACCAAGGACCGATGGGGTGCCCTCTCAAGTCATTCTGTCAAGGGGGCTTATCAAGAGATAGTTCACGTTGTATGAGGAAGGTGGAAAGCTCAAGTGAGGGAATTGGAGCCCTTATACTGGGACACAGTGGGATAATGACTACGAAGGGGAGCAACTCCAAATATAATGGGTCGGATTTGATATTGCTTGGGGAGGTATCGATTATGTGGAACGGAGTGAGGGTAACTGGTGGAGGGGGCAGGAAAAACCCCTGCCAGTGCCATCTCTGAGAGATTTGCTGCTTCTTCCTCCAAAGGTGGAGGAGGAGCTGCTGGGCTGCAGGGCTGCATAAGACAGGACATTAGTTACTTTATAGGAGTAGAAGCTTGACTGTGTTAAGAATACATTCACAGTGGTAGTAATGGTACAGCAGCACAGTACAGATCAGCATTTGGTTGCCTCAATATAGAAGTCTTGGTGTTTTCACATGCGCAGTCACAGACCTCTTCTGCCATTTCAAGGATCTTCTCATGAAGAATAAGTTCACATATGTCGACTGCTCCATCAACCATCTTTACCCTCTGAATTTGTACTTAACATTGTAATTAATCAAGTGAATCAACTTATAAGAAAAAGGAAGGTTTATAT